CATTTTTGAGTTTTCTTACATTTTATTAAAATTCTAAGTCAATTTTTGTTTTCTAATAATTTATTTGTTTCAATGTCTGTTGAAGTTTACAAATTGTTGTCATTTTAAACTCAAAACCACGATTTTAAGAATAATTGTGCATTTTAATTTTTGACTATAATTTCTAATTGTAGTTTGGTCGAATTTTTTTGAAAATAATTTTTCAAATGGTATTATTTAATTTATAAGTCTGTATATTGTAAGAATAATGTTACGTATATTCTTGACATCAATAAAATATTCCTAATACTTTATAAACAATATCAATATTCTCATAAATGTATTTTGTGAAATTAACAAAGTATGATTGGGGTAGATAATCCCTTCTTAAAGCCAAATTATTACTAAGAAAATATCTAAAAACTTAATTAATCTATTTTTATACATTTTTCAAAGATTTTACTAATTGGTTTAATATTAACAATAATTTCAAATTCCCAGTTAAATATACTGAATAAATCATTTAGGCGATTACAGATTTTATACTCAAGATCTAAGTTATAAACCTAATTAATTTAAGTAGAATGGCTGTTATTTAAACTATCACTACAATTAAACAACATAAAATACCAAAATGGTCAGTAATACTACATTTCAAAATATAGGCACAAATATCATCTTTATTTGCATTATTTATATGTATGTGATCAATACAAAAACTATTAGAGGAGTTGGCCTATTGATAGTTTGATAAAAATTAAAAGCTGTTAACACATTAGAATATTTAGAGATATTATCATTAGTGTTTCTAATGTGTTGACGTACAACAGCCCATGATTATTTATTAATCGGCCCATCAAAGTATTAAATCAAAATTAAAAAATAAAAAGACCTTTAAATTTCAAAATTTAACATTCATATTAAAATANTGCCAATAATAATTATAAATTAAGTTTAGTACTGAAATTCATGCCTTCAACTATTTAGATTAAGTTTACCTAACGACTATTATAACATATCTAATAAAAAATAATTAAGATTGAATGACTTTACTTAATTATCAAAATTTTTATTTTTTTTTCTCATTTATAACAATCAATAGGTACCTAATAAATGATTTATCATAATATTAAACATAAAATAAGATATTCTGTTTACTTTATTTAAATTTGTATAAATGGGGTCTGATAGACCACCATGCGACTATGAATGTTACAAAAAGACACAACAGCAAAAAGTTTATTGTTCAGAATGAGACTTCAAAGTTTTTAAAAATTATCTATTTTGTAGTACATTTTTGTAGGTCTACTTATTAATTTATAGTAATCAAACAAACGAAATAAAGTTTAACCGGCAGGTATGTACTTGCAACACGATCTGTTGAAATAATATGTAACTAAGGCTTGAAATCAAATCGTTATAATTTCACATGTAGAGAGTGCTCTCTATATGCCATCACAGTTAATTTATTTTCAAAAATACAAATGTACCGTCGATTTCAATCAGTGGTCCGTCGATTTCAATCAGTAGTCCGTCGATTTCAATCAGTGGTCTACCGATTTCCTCAGTTCTCTGAGTTCGTCCAGCAAAACCACTTGTTTTATGTTCACTCTCTCCAAACTTACTAAAATTTTGATAGAGTAAATAATTGTAATAATAATAATTATAATAGGTTATAAACGGGAAAATGTAAGAAATGTATGTATTAGCCAATAATATTACGGTTTTTTTTCTGTGGGCAATTTTTGTACCAGCAATTTTACACCAACTTATAATGATAGCAATGTTTCTAAAAGGAAATCCGACTGGGGAGGTACTTTAAGGGGGTCACTTTTCGATTTTCTCATGACCTTTTCCAGCAAATGTGAAAAACTGGAGGAAACATGGAAAAATCGGGAAAACTTATCCGGGATATCCGGAAAATCGGTACAACATTAAACAAATATTATTAAAGAAAACACATGAAGCCTATTTAATTATTTTACTATAATATGGCATATATATATATATTGTAGTCAAAGTATCACTATCTACTGAACCCCGGTCAGAGTCGTTTTTTCGTAAGCAATGGTTTTTCGTTACTTACAGGTATACATTAAATTACCTATAACAGTGGCTGCACTCCCCATCATTTCAAGACGTCTTTATTTCATAATAAATCTTTTTAATAAAACAAAAAATATGAAATATTCTTTTAAAAATATTAAACATATAGCCTGAGTAAAACAATTAAATATTATAAGTAATAATGCCGCTACTCATGCTGATATCAGTTTTGACGAGTTTTACGGGTCTAGAAATATTTTCAAAATACTACAATTGTGATGCCGTCAAGTTCGTGTTATTACATACATACAATGCCATAGCTAGGTATCTGTGTGCCCCGTTGCAAATTGGTCTAGGTGCCCCAGGAACATCAATGCAATTAGGGAGGCTTCTTAGTCACTATTAAGTCTCTTCAAACATTTAAGTTTTGGATCTTCATATAATCTCCAAGATTAATAATTAAAACATATGTAAAATATGCAATCTATTATCGTTTTTCACTAAGAAAAGTGATTTTTTTAGGAACTTCTAGACTATTCTCATAGCCTATAATTATCCTGGGAAATTCCTAAACACTTAGTAAAAAGCCTCGTCACAATCTGACGAACATCGGCAGCTTATAATTCAAAAGAAAAAATATTCTATTTTATACATTAAATATTAAATAATAAAGTAATAAAGTAAAAATAAAAATTTAAATGGTTCATAATTGTAAATTACTATATAAAATATATACAATTTATACATAAAAATAAAATAAATAAATGAATGAATGCGTCGCTTGGAGTATTATGATAAGTGTGCAATACACATTTTATAATTATGTATTTATATATTTGTTTACTATATTTATTTACTTTATTAAATATTAAACTGTGCAACTTTTTTGCCTTCTCGTTTTCTCTGCGTGTGGCATCAGATATTAATTCTGTGGTCGATTTTTTATCAGAGTAAACCAAGTTGTTCACATTTTCAAGAAAATCTATAAAAATAAATACGTATAACGTATAATTTAATAATTCACTGAGTTGGGTATAAGTAAAATAAAAAAAAAAAGAACTAATAATGGGGACGAATTTTTCATTGTTGTAAGAAGCGAGTTTTGAAAGTACTAACAACGATACACCATTGTTAACGAAAAACGATTCAAAATGACGTAATATTTACAATTTTTGTCAAAAACTGATTTAAAAACTTACAAAAAAAAAAAAAAAAAAAACTCTACAATACTACAAAACAATCAATTTTTTTTTACCACCAAGTTTAACTTATAATAAACCTCGTGTCAAATTTTCAATTTTTTTTTGTTTAGTCTAACAATTTTATTCATAGAGTACCTACCAAATTAAAATAAGGTAAAAATCGGCAAAATTAAAATATATCTAAATAGCTTAAATATGGCTCAAACGATTTGAAAACGGTATATAAGGCAAATATGAGTTTTCCGTCAAAATTGCAAGTGTTTACGAATATTTTCAACTTAATAAATAAGAATAAGAATTATTAATATTAACACTTAGAAACTTTTTTCTAGGGCGGATTTCTCGGCTGTGGTCGACAGAAGTTTATTAGATGGAATCTCGCGTTTTATTTTAAGCCAAAGCAGTTATATTATAGTAATCAATCACAATAATATGATAATTACACAATTTTTGAACCCTATATGAAATTATAATTTCAAAATTAAATTATAACAATGAGTATTGTGTATACATTTTCACTATAGCTTTCAGATAAAAATTTAAATTTATTATTAAATAATTTGATGTAGGACCTATTTATTTTATTATTATGTAATAAACATATTAAATTTAGAAATTTAAATGTAAACAATGCATTATTTTTATATATTATAATATTAAATTAGTTTTCTTATGGTATGGTAGGGAGGTTCGATAAAGGGGTTACGTACGTATACGTATTTTAAAATGTTCGTATAGGTTAAAAATTAAAACACGGATAAAAGGCATCATATTATGACGACGTCATACTTTTTTTCTAGAGCGGAATCTCGGCTGGGGGTCGCCATCGAAACGAGAATTTTATTATGGACCAGGAGATCATGAGGTTTGTGTACGCTGCGGCGGCGACGGCTACCGCCGACGACTCGTCGCGGGAATATTGTTCGGCCGCCGCCAACTGCTAAGACTCGTCGCGGCAATATCGTTCGGATGACGACCGCTACGAATAGTCGCGGCAATAACATTCGAGTCCTGCGCTCCTGGTACATGGAGGTCTTTTTTGTACTTCGTACGAATACGTTGAGGATTGTCGTACACATCATATTCGTATACGGACACGGACATGATTTCGTATCTTTAAGTTTCCCTAAATGATACAGTTTAGAATACTATAAAAAATAAACATAAAGTATAAATCGGTTAGGTTGATTTATTAAAGGTGGTAAAACAAACATATAATAAATAATTTATATTTAGAATTATCTAGAAGTATTATTTTAAAGTATTTGAGTATTAAAGTTAATACTAATAGTTAATAGTTTGTACTACAATAAATTTTTTTTGGAAGTGTAAAGTGTACATATAATTAGTAATTAGTAATTATATACTTAATTATATACTTTTATAATTGATTGTATCTATATGTTTAAATTTTTCTTTAAACTGACCATAAATGTTAAAAATGTAGCATTAAATATATCGTAAATTGATCAAATCAGGTTATTTAGGTACTTATTACTGTTGTTTTGTTATATTTTCACTATCTCTTTCAGACAAAAATTAAAATATGTTATTTAACGAACTGATGGTAGGTAGTAGGTNAATTACACACATTTTTGAATCCCATATGAAATTATAATTTCAAAATTCAACTATAACAATGAGTATTGTGTATAAATATCGTAAATTGATCAAATCAGGTTATTTAGGTACTTATTACTGTTGTTTTGTTATATTTTCACTATCTTTGTTATATTTTCACTATCTCTTTCAGACAAAAATTAAAATATGTTATTTAACGAACTGATGGTAGGTAGTAGGTACATTCTATTTATTTTATTAATATGTAATATTAACATGACATATTAAGAATAGATATATTAATAGATATATTATAAGAATTAT